TCATTGTTTCAATTGTTACAATATTTGGATTTTCAGTTTTGTAATAGATAGCAACTTTATGGTTAATATATTTATCGGATGGTAAGACCTTGTCTGGTAATAACCCATCATTGGTATAGAGTTATAAACAATCACAATTTCTTTATCTTTAAATAAATCACCCCTATCTTTGTGTCAGAATTTGTGTGTTGTCCTCCATTGTTCAGGATAAATACTGTGATTTAGCCAGTAATATTTTGCTGAAGTTTATATAGGTATAGGTATAACTGTTATTTATCAGTTATAAAGTTATATAATACCAGTTGTTATTTATCAGTTATAAAGTTATATAATACCAGTTGTTATTTATCAGTTATAAAGTTATATAATACCAGTTGTTATTTATCAGTTATAAAGTTATGTAATACCATTTGTTATTTATCAGTTATAAAGTTATATAATACCAGTTGTTATTTATCAGTTATAAAGTTATGTAATACCAGTTGTTATTTATCAGTTATAAAGTTATATAATACCATTTGTTATTTATCAGTTATAAAGTTATATAATACCAGTTGTTATTTATCAGTTATAAAGTTATGTAATACCAGTTGTTATTTATCAGTTATAAAGTTATGTAATACCAGTTGTTATTTATCAGTTATAAAGTTATATAATACCAGTTGTTATTTATCAGTTATAAAGTTATGTAATACCAGTTGTTATTTATCAGTTATAAAGTTATATAATACCATTTGTTATTTATCAGTTATAAAGTTATATAATACCAGTTGTTATTTATCAGTTATAAAGTTATGTAATACCAGTTGTTATTTATCAGTTATAAAGTTATGTAATACCAGTTGTTATTTATCAGTTATAAAGTTATATAATACCAGTTATTATTTATCAATTCTATTATAAAGTTCTGAAGGTAAACTCAGAATTTTCATGCACATATCTATCTTATAAACTGCATGCAATAAAAAAATGATACATTACAACTAGTTGGAAGTACAGCCGTCTGAAACCTCGAGGTTCTGGGAGATATTCTCAGATCAGAACAAAATAGACAAGAATGACCGGGCCTACTAACGAGCAACAAACATGTCCACCTTCATATCAGTCAAGAAATAAAATATTCCTCAAGAGTGAGAAGAAACATTCTAGCATTATCCTTCTAATATTATCTTTTATGTCCAGGGATACATATTATTTTACTCCATTTTCAATTTCCATTAAAGTGCAGATTTCAGGAGTGAACCCAGAGACACCAATTTCTTGAAACATTTGCTCAGAAAGAACTGTAAGAACTCAACAATATTTAGGGAAAAAAGTCAAACAAATTGAGTTCAAGGCAGCTTTTGGTCAGAAAACTAATTAAAATTGAAAACTCGACGACGGGAAAGAATGCATTTTAAATTTGTACCCAGTTGATGGAAGAACAAGTTAATTTTCTTGTCTTGAAAAAAATTTACTCTGGCACCAGTATAGGAACTAACAGTTGAAGTTGATGGAGTGAGGGTTGAGTTTTGAAATGTTCCACCAGAAAATTGTAAAGTTAGAATGCATACCGCCAGGAAATGAAGACTCTTGACAATCAAATACAAGTATTTAGCAGTGTCAGAAGAATGCTTGAAAACATTTTCTTACTGTGCTATTCTTAGGCTAGTAAAGAAACATTCAGGTTGTGTATTACAGGTCTGGGACAGATAATCACACAGAGCTGTCTAGTCAGGCATTACTTTAACACCTTCTACAAATAAATATTTAGGCTTCCTTATGTCTTCAAGGTATCATAACATTATGCACAGGAGAAGACAGTATAGGGAATGTTTCATTCTACATGGTGTTTACTTTTTGAAATCCATTTGTCTATTTCTGTCTGTTTAACTGCAGTAATGATATAGGACCAATGGACTCAAGAAAGTTTAAAGTTGATCAATTTAAACCACATCAAAATCTGCAAAACAAATGACTTTGACCCATTTTGTCAAATTGCTTCTGATGACTAACCAAAACCGAGTTGAAAAATGATTTTTGCAAAGTTGTCAAGAAGACCTTGATCATTAAAACACTTAAAGGACTTGGTTAACTGAAAGGTTAGAATTTAATTAGGTTCTAGAGATGAAGGCCAACAGAATTTGGGTAAGAAAGCACTTGGAACCATAACACAGTCACAGGTGTCTACAGCTAGTTTGTTCAAGATCAAAATACTTGTATAATGTGTATTTAACCAGTAGTGTACATAGCTTTCACAGCTACAAAGTCAAGGTCATATTTGTCAAATTTATTGTAAATAATTTGATATATTCCTCTATTAAAGAAATGTTCAAAATTTAGAAGTGATGACACAGGAAAAATATTTATAGAAGTCTTCCAGAAGAGAAAGAAATTATCCCATCATGGTACATAACAATATCAGTTTAGTTTAGAATGTTAGCTTGCTAATTGTTGGCAAAGCTGGTTCAAGCTAATTCAAGTTAGATTCACTTTGAAGATCACTGATATGTAATTTCATACTCAGAATGCATGTTTGGCTGATGGGCTTCTTGCTTATATTCTTGTGCTAGAAGTTCAGATACATAAACATCAATTAAATGCAAGTTGTTTTCAAACTCCATCATGGTGTGTTGTACAACACAGAAAAGACGTTTTTGACTATATGGAAAGGAACCCCAATTATGTTCTATTTCAGGAATGCCATCAATATTCTGTAGTCATGCAGGTTGTAATTGGTTCAATCTAGAAGAAAAAATGTTTTTAAATATGTCTTAACCAGTCTTAAACCAGTTAAAGAAATGTGTATCGTTAGTCATCTGTTCCTGTAGTATTCAGCATGTATAATAATCCTGTTTCAATATCAAATTAAATCATACAAAATCACATTGAGAATAGTTTCCCTGTTGTCGTGTTGACAGATTGAGCTGTCTATAAGCAGATGCCTGTGGAGAACATAACAATTTAGATACAATTGTGTACATCTGTACATTCATGTTTTACATATCATTTCACCGGAATTAAAGTCCAATGCTGCAGCTGAATCACATTCTATCTTCTGCATCAAAACAGGAAGCAAAAATTATCAAATTTTAAAAGGTTTTTGTCAGAAAGCCTTAAATTATGAGGTACAGTGTTTCCAGCAGAGAATAGAAATTAAACGGCTTTTTGTAGAAAGGAAAAAGTTAAATATAGTTATTTTGTTCTGTATTAAATGAAATTCCAAGCGAAATGTTAGGATGTGAATTCATTTTTATTTTGAAATGTGAATTTTCCATTTGGACCAAAAGATAATTTGGAAAATTTTTGGAGGTTGAAGTTAGAAGTTGAACGAAGGCATCAAGAATTTGATAACATGATTTACATGATGACGGGAAAAATTGTGTTCTTTGGCTACAGACATTTTATCTTACCTCTAACATGGAATACCAGTCACCCCGTTAGAAATCCACATTTTAATTATTAAAGAAACAGTATATTTTGTATGATTAAAAGACAATGATGCTGTTGTTAGAAAGTCTTCATTTATTATTGTCAGACAATGAATGATAAATGTATTTATCCTGTACATAACCCGGGGGTGTTGGTGGGAGGGAGACATTGCACTGTTTATCTATATAAGGTAATGAAATAACAGTAGGTTACAATTTTATAGAACAGCAGTAATGTGCTTCTATAGACTTACTTATTGCTAGGTAAATACCTATACAATACATATGTTTCTTGGCTCACTGTCATCAGATGTTGGGTTAATCAAATTGTCCTTCTTCTGTTAGTCATCCGTCCATCTCTTCTCTCCATCCTTACTGTTATTCTCACTCTTTCTGGAGAAGCTGTCTTGGTTTTCGACAGTCATAGTTTGTAACTGATATTTCTTAGGAAGCGATCTTAGATCATGAAATGTCATTTGCAGATTTGTCTTATAGTCCCTAGTTATGTATAATTCATTTTGGGACTGATTGAGAAAGCAAGATTTCCCTACTGGTATGAATCATAGGTAGTCATCTTGAATTTGACAGTAAGTGTTTGTTATCACTACTTCTTGGATAATATTTTATGTAAGTTCCCCTTGGTCCCTATTTGTGCTGTTCAAATTTTGGGACTGATAAGATAAAGTAGCCAACAGGCAACCTTCTTAGATTTGTATACAAAACAAAAAAACAAGAAAAAAACAGGAGAGAGGAGAAATCAGTGAGCTATCAAGAAATATATAAATATCAAATGATAGTGGGCACCAAGATTTCTCAGGGATGTCATGTTAAAGTATTAAATGTATGGTATATCATTAATTATTATTTATTTCATTATCCCCTATGAAACGCATTTGCGGGCGATATTAATTTGGGCCATTCAACCGTCCGACCGTCCGTCCAAGCTTTTCAGGGCTATAACTTCAAAATCTTTTAACTCAACTTCACAAACCTTGCTGTATATATTAACCAACTACATGTCTGGCTTTAAATTGAGGGCTCTCTGCAGTTTAAATGAATGAGGATAGACTAGCTTGCTATCATATTCTATCATTTAAAGATTATGATATGTCAGAGTGACAGCACTTTAAAATGTTGGCTAAATATTGAATAGCCAAATTGTTGAACATCATATCTATATGAACACATCAGCTTTAGCAAGGAAATAAAACAACCTATTACCAGACCATGTGTTCTACAGCGAACATATGATTATAATCATGTAAATAATACTGTTATAAACTTTCCATTTCTCTGAAAATTTCTGTGCATAAATGGCTGTATCTGACTCAAATGTCACTCTCTGTTTCATCCTTCTGAAAATTGATTACTTCTCAATGTGTTTAATTTACTTAACTGATGTTGTTGTTTAATTTGTAAGCAGTAGATCCGCTTGGTACAAATTTTGAATACATACAGTTTCTCTGTTCATATGGAATATTGATGTTACATGATTAAGAAATTTGTTCATTGCTTCCTGTGTAAAATCTATATATGTGACTTTGGATATATCACTGTTATTGATATAAAATTTCTGTGCTATGTTTACAGATCAGATGTCGATATTCACAAAATCGTAAAAGGAAGAGGATTTAAGTTTATAATTACAGCATATAGCGATGGTAAGTATGCATGCATAGTGTGACATTAGCCTAAATAGTCAAATGGTTTTTTTCATACAGTTTCATTGATTGAAGCTTAATATAGCCCAAAAACCAGAATATATAAATATTTTTCACACAGTTTAATTAAATTAGGGCCCAAAGATAGATGGGATACTGCCAACTTATTACTTCTTATTTTGTTAATCAAATCAGTTTCTTCAACATTTTCTATAAATGGATGTTAGGAATGTTTTTTGGCCTTGTACTTTAGTCATGTTTAGGCTGACTGGTTCTTAATCTTCGGCAGGTTAACCATCTTGTTGATGATTTGTGTCAGACATTCAATTAAGGTGACAGCTTAGTCATCAAATGTCACACAGGAATTTTCTTTGGACATCCATTCAGTATGATATTACAACCCAGATAATATGTGACAAGTTACAAAGTTGTCATAGATTCAGTAGAAAGTTTCGTTGAGAACGGCTCCTTCAAGTCTCTTTCCTGTTACCGAAGGATCTTTGTGTTAATTTCTTTGGAATGCTTTATTATGTAGAATGACAGATAGTATTCTACATGTTACTGAGATTAGGGTTCGGGTTGTTAAATGTAGTAGTAGAAATCATCTTAAATAATCTTAGGAAACACTTGTTGAACAACACATTGTCTCCTTTCCTTTATCGAGGAGGTGGAGGGGTCCTCTCTTAATTAATGTGTGGAGGAGATGTCACTATTTTGGAAGATTCTCCAGAAATAGTTTTTTTTCTTAAACACAATGTCAGTTTTGAATTCACAACACACACACATCATTAATTGCAGAGCATACCTTTTGTGATTGTTAATTGAAGTCGACTGCACTGCAGCAGATGAAAGTCATTAGAAGATAAGAATACCTACAAGTCATGTCACACAACCAAGTTAACCGATCAGCTGCACTGAAAAATGCCCCACAACCTTAGGAATTCTCTTAAGGAAATGCTTCTGTCAAATTAATTTTCAACAGTTTGGTAAAGAAGAAAATCCCTGATTGAAACCATTCCCCAGCTGCAAGATGTGAAACTTCCCAATTAATTTGCAGTTTGCACTTTCGAGGTTTGAACTGTGAATTAGTGATTTTGTATTGCTTTCATGAAAATTAACCAGGAATTTTATGTCAAAAAAATGAAAATGAAATGCTGACAGAAAAAAACATACGGACAAATGTAATTGAAAAATGTCCAGAACTAATTTTTGGGGTTTTCTCTCAAAAGTAAATTAACAGCAAAGAGTTTGTTGTTTATCTGTTGTTGAATAAATATAAAAGATGTTGTCATATTCTACATTTCCTGCAATGATGATCCATATCACCAGGGGACCAATGTGAAGAAACCGTCCAATTATTATTAAAGCTTATACATAGGAAATAAGCAGACAAGGTGACTAATACAAGACCTAGTCTAGAAAGTAAGGATTTATCAATGCTTTATGATGAGGCAGCTATTATAACAGCTGTTTGATGTGGAGGGCTTATGCTCGGACACTAATTGAGTCCTAATTGAATTTCTTTATCAATTATTAACAGAGTGGTCAGCTATGGTCAGTCAGTGGTCATTGTGTCCATCTTAACTGATGTATCTGGCATTTCCTGAGGTTTGAATTAGTGTATTGACCACTGGTCAAAGTAATATTGTCTCTGTCTTATTAATGAGCTGTCTGATTATACCCAGTTGGACACCACCTAAGGCTAAGAGAAGGTCAGATTCTCTTGTGATTGTGTTGTATTTCAATCAGGGAAAATATGTTGATCTGAAGTTTACCTTTGATTGACTTTAGTATAAAACCTATCCTCTGTCATATTACTGATTAATTTGAAGCCTAATCTGGAGAATCCTGAGTGGCTGTCCAAAAGTCCGGGGTTAATTGACAGATAGACAAACATTGATGGTAGGCAACTGTTTTGTGATTGCTTGTAAATAAAGACAGGTTAAACCTAGTAATTCAGACATGATATTTGACTTAAATATAAATCACATTTTACTTTGTAGAACATATCCATAAATGGTGACAATTGTAACAGAAATTACTTTCAAAATTTAAAACACTTGAATTATACTTCCATACATGTAGTGTGTGTATTCCTCTCTATTGGTCTGACTGTCACAGACTTTTCAACGGGTCCCTTATATACAACTGCCAACTTTTACATATAACCTGTTGAAAACATAAACTTAAGCATATGAAAATTGGATTTTATACACAACCATATTTGGAGTTATGGCCCTTTGTTCGCACAATTTTGCATATTTTGTAAAGTTAAATGTCAGGTAAAATGATCTTATTGAATTAACAGATCTAGAATGATGTGTTTTAGTATCGGTTTCTTATATAAAATTACATTCAACTTTGATAATTGGCAGAGTTATGTCCCTTTGTTTATTTGTCATTGTTTTCATCTCCTATGAATATTACATGCAATTTGTTTACATGAAAGTCTTGAAACTTGTTCTTGCAATATTCCTCACTTTGTTTTGTCTCTGTGGTTATACTTAAAACACATTGATTCTTGATACTTAATTCTCTAAAGAAAAATTGCAAGAAACTGAAGAAAAACTGCATGGTTTTTGTTTGAGATTGATTAAGTGAATTTTCATTCCCTGGAAGTAAAAACCATGTCAAAGAAATCTCAGTTGTTTGTCTGTTAATATCAACAGCTCATCAAAAGCAAAAATATGTTATTGAACTTCAAACTCAAAATTGATTAAAATTAGGGAAGATTAATGAACAAAGGAAGATTCACAAGGAAACTTTTGAATACATATAAGAATAGTAAGACGAGGATGTTTTGGACAGGTTATTTTGGGCCAAACAGTGAAATTTTCAGCAATGGTGCTGAAATGAATCAACTAACAATTGTACATGTAGACCCTAACCATTGATGAATAGACAGATTGATCTTTGGAGACAAATTGAGATTAGGGCAGACATTTAATCTGTTAGAAGAAATGTTTTCATTGACATCACATGATTAGCAGCAATGATGATAAGCTTTTACATATTTGTATGTAGTGTACCTGGACATCTGACATTTCAACAAACCCAATAGGCAGTACAGAAACAATGATGGTAATCATTCGATCAAATGCTTCTAATGGAACAGGCAGCCATAAAAATTGATTTCTAGATGTTATATATGGATTCAGGCAAGTTCATCACGCTCAGCAGGGTTTGGCTAATTTCAAGGTACAAAATATATAATATTCTGTTTGAAGACATCTCGGCTTAAGTGATGTTGATTCATGGTTGTATGCAGATGATTGTACAGTAGTTTTGTTATTTTTCTCATCTTTTGTTTTTCTTTTGGATCCGAACACTTCATTAGGTAATTGCATTACCAGTACTTGTGATGTTAAGGACACACATTTAATGTGACACGCCCCCTTCTTTATCATGGAATCGTGTCACTGTCTCTTCACAGGTGATCAATTAAACCATATTATATTAAGTTGATGACAAAATGGAGACTCTATTCAATAATTAACGCAATGAATATTTCAATTAATGCATTTAAAAAATCTTATTAAATTTCAAGGGAAATAACTTTAAACAACACGACTAGTACAGCGTATTAAGTATACACAGTAAGAGCCAAAATGAAAATGATCTTGAAATATGATTTACAAATATACTTTAAGAAATACAAATTTCTGTCATCTTATTACATGAAGGTCATGGGATGCTGATAAATATATATATATAATTATCACTTATTGTACTGCATTCATATGTCTCAAGTTCCTTTCTAGTTTTAGAAAAGAAAAAAAAGACTAAACTATAATTTTTGTCCTTTGCTCTCTCTCTGCTATTGTTTTCGTGTTGGTTATAGTGATGCCAGTATAAGGTTTAACGTTTTCTCCAAAACTCAGAACTCACTGTGAAATATAAGAGATAAAAAAATCAGTTAAACTTGTATCTATACACATCACTGTCTCTTGTTTATTTGTGCATTAGATTTGATTTTACTGGCAGCTGTGTTCTTTATGCTCTACTTGTCAAAAATAATCTAGAAGGGAAAATTTTTCCATCGTGATCAATGTCATTTTGGTACAGATTTCAGTATGAGACATGGATATCAATTATTAATGAATATCTGCATACTAATTATTTTTTTCAGTCTAAATTATATGATTAGAGATTCTAACTTCCATCTGAGTCAGAAAGAGATGATTCAAGTTCTGAAGAAAAAAATGTATTTATTCAATTATTCCATCTGACCACAGGTAATTTACCCAATAACCCAAAGGTCATGACTCATGTTTATTATGAAAATCCTAAACAGGTGTTATTATAGTTATAGACAGTGCCTTCCATGTGGTGTTTTTCGCGTGGGATGATAATTAGCTTAAGTCACGATGTGGTATCAGTAGTCTATTTTATATGGCTATATATAGCAGAAATGTCCTTCCTGTTGTCAAAGGAAGACAGGTATAAACAAAAAAAAACTCTTACCTATGCTTAAAAATATTCTCTTTAATGCTTATATCATACTCTAGTTCATCATTTAAAATCATAAAATACCACAAACAAAATGGGGTCTGTATGACCTTTACTTGACCTTTGAATCTTGTTAACCTCAGATATTGAAGTTCATGTATAGCATACTAAATCATGATGAAAGTTATACTGAAATTTGAAAAAAAAAAAGAAAATTTCCAGAGGCCATCTCATTAGATGTTTCATTGTGAGAATGTCTGACCTCAAGGTATTGTCAGTAATTTCTGACCTTTAACCTTGACCTTAAGTACTGATCTATATCAAAATAGATTTCAGTGCATAATTTGAAAATGTAAAGTTTTGTGACTTGGATGAAAGTTGCAGCAAAAGTAAAGATTAGGTTGAAAATAAATAACTCAGATTTATTCAGTAATGAGTTTGAAACTACATGGAGAGTCAATTTGTTTTAATAGATTCGATAATCTTCATGACATGTACAAAATGTTGGGGTTGGTTTTGCCATAATTATTGTCATATATGCTACAAATATC